GATGTCAGGCTGGTGGAGAAACTTTTCCCTGTAAACTCCATCATGAAATCCAAGAACAATTATTCCTCCCCCCCCCAGCCCACAGAGCAGAGCTTTGACTAATCCCCAAATCAAGCTTTGGGCCATGGAACAAAATCGTCATGAGTCCACTAAGCCCGGTTCAGGACTACATCCGCTGGTAACATTTAAAACGACTGCACAAAACACAAGCATTAATTAATGCTCTAGCATAAACACGGAAGGGAGACAAAAGGGAAGTGCTTTCCCTACAGCAGAAGCTCCTTAAACACATCCCTTCTTTCTACGCCCAGCCTTGGGTCTCAAAACAGCCTCTACTTTCATCTTAGAGCTGATCTGCTGTGACTTGTAAAGAAGATGGGGGCTTAAGTTAAAAGGAGACCCAGAGGTCTCTTCCCTTCTTCTCTTCCTCCTCACGCCCCCTCCTACTTTGAAAAATTGTTAGCTTTTTCTGACCCTAGTGAAAGGTTGCAACCCTTTACCTACCTCCCTATCAAAGAGCACAAAAAAAAAAAAGACAAATTATCTCATTCTAGTCAACGGCCCACTCGGACAATCAACGTCCAGCGGCCTTGAATCCGGATGGGTTTCCAAGACTTCCCCAGATCCAGTTTAACTCCCCCTACTTTTGTGGGAGTATCTCAATCCCAGGAAGCAGCCTGCTGGGATGCTCCCGAGGCCCTGGAGCTGTAAGGCACCTCCTCTCCCAGGCCAGCCTAACACAGAAATTTCCTGACTTGCCTGATGCTCAAATAGAAAATGTCTCCACCCGAGAGTGTCTCTGAGCTCTAGAAACTCTCCCCTGAAAGTGAAACCTCTTTTGTTCCATGCCTAGGAATCACAGTCACACAGGTATTTGGATGATTTTTTTTTTCTTAACTTTACAAAATGCTAGTTTGTTTTTGTTTTTGTTTTTTTAATTGTAAGGCATTTCTTTCTTACTGTGACACGCATAAATAACACACACTCATCAACCCGATTCTTGGTTTGATTGAAATTTCGATGGTATCATTGTGAACCCCATATAAATCAAGATGGATGCCATCTTTGGACTTCCATGCGTTACATGTCAAGAGTATATACAATTTTTTTTGTTTTAATATCACCAAATCATTTCTAGATACAAGTTCAGGAACAAGGATAAAGTCTTAGGAACAACACCAGAATGTTCAAGGCCACCCTGACTTATTTAGTGAAGGGGCAAGTAAAAAAATGTAAAATCAGCCCAAGGCCTGGCCTGGGGCCCACTTTGCATGGGAGTCGCCCTCAGTAAGGCCAGAGGAGTTAAAGAAAAGTGATGGTGCCTGATGGGCAAGTTAACTCCCCTTGGGAAAGAATTCCATCAAAGTTACTTGTGAGTCACCCCACCAAGTGTCAACGGGCTGTACTTCATGGCGTTTTAAAGTCCTTTGTTTTCCTCTTCACGCAGATCTTAGGTGAGGAAATTTGTAAACAAATTTCTAGTGAATGCCGTACTTTGTTCAAACCCTGTCGGTCAAGTTTCCTCCTGTCCCTGCCCCCTGCACATTGCTCAGATCCCTGCACATTCACCTGGCATCAGTGACAACACGGTCAAGGTCAAGAAGCCAATTTTTTTCCCACCCTCTAGATCTGTTCCAAAATCAAGGGATTTCAGCAAGACAGACTGATATGACACTGGGTTAATATTTGAACCGATTATTTCAAGTCACTGAATGACTGCCATCTGCCAACAGCAATCTAACATCAAATATACACAATCAATAAAAGCATTTTGCATATGAAAATGCCAAAAGGAAACAACAGTGGCATAAATAGAACATTGGTACATGGGGGAGGGGGTTAGAATCATTGTCATCTGCCTCTTGACAATGAGGAACCCATCTTCTCCTTCAGGACTAGACAAGACCTGACACCAACCTGCCACCCGGAGATTTTTACCACAAGAGTTTTTGGTGTTTCGGATCATGGAAGTAGTAGCAGCCTAAAATTGCCCTACCCTAAAATGTTTCGAGTCTGATTACTTAAAAGAGGAAGTGAATTTTCGTAAAATCCCCATGGGTTGGAAATTTTCTCCCCACCTTTAAATAATGTATAGTTATTTGCTTCAATCCCCCCCATATAGTTAGTAAACCATTTTAATGACCACAATGACCAATTAATAAACAGACTGTGCTCTGCATTTGACTTATAAAAATTCTTACAGGAAATAGCAAATAAAAGTTTTCGAGGCTAAAGAATGCAGAAGGCTTCAGAGGGCTTTCTTCCAGTTACGCTTTTTGGTCAGTCATTCTTTATGAATTTGCTGCAGATATATGTTTAATAAATAGATTTTCTAACCTGATAACTATCCCCACAGTGTTCTCAGCTTGAGGGAGAAGCCTGCTTAGTTGCCAAAGATCTTTATATGTTGTTTTGTTTTGTTTTGTTTTTTTAAAGAAGGTCAAGATGGCTCGAGACTTTCTTGGTCACTTTCCTGGATACAGAGCATCATGAAAAGAAATATGTAAACATGAAAAAGTCAGCCAATTTGGCAAGGTCCAGAAGGACATAAACGGATAAATCCACCCTTGGATAAACAAGATGAATTTGAAGATCTGTTCTTGGCTAGAACAGTCCACACAGTCAAGTAAGTGAAGCTAGCGTATGCCATCCTGACACCAGCGTATGGCAAATATGCCTGCACACCCACAAACTTGCATTCAACTGTGAGCAGGAAGAAATAATACAAAAGGTGGATGAATAAGCTAATGATGAAGAAACAAATCCTCATTATTAAAAGACAATTAAACTCTTCTTCCAAAGCAGCTTATCAACTTTTATAGCTTTATTAAGGCATATTAGAAGAAGGAGAAATACAGTTCACCCAAAAATAAGAGAATGTCCTTATTTTGAAAAAAAAAAATAAAGCAACACAGGCATTAGGGTCAGGGAGTTTCTGTCAGCATAGCTGACCTTAAGTATGAGGATGGGAGGATTTCTTTACCAGAGGTCTCCCGGCAATTCATAAAGGTGTTAGGATTCACAGCACAAATATTCATGCTTTCAGAATTAAAATGCTTCTGCATAAAACCCCATTTTATTTCAAAAATAGCAACCATACCCTCAGCCTGGGCTTATAGAGCTGGGTCTTTTTTTTTTTTTTTTAATTCCTGGGTAAGAATTTATAGAACCAACTTTAAGAGCATAAGGGAAAACTTGGATGGCTCATTCAAATCACTCATTCATTTAGCCACAGGAAACAAGCTCAAAACTATAAAAATGCACCAAAGCTGATTATATATCTATAAAAATATTTATAAGTCAATTATAGATGCCACATTTTTTAAATTCCAGGAACAGGGTTGCTATGCACACCCAAAAATCTGCCAGCAATTATTTTTACTTGGAATCAGTGAGCATTAAACACTGTAAGAAGTAACAAAATGTTCCAACTCAATGAAGAGAATATTCAGTTATAATCCATACACCAATAAATTATCTCATAGATTTGATAAGTATTCTGATGCATTTTCAACTTTACAAAACCAGTAGCTAGAGGTCAGTAGCAAAATGTCAGGGCAAAAGAGATAAAGCAAAGTCACCTCTGGGTCTGTGGGTGACTGCTGATGCATTATTAGAAATTCTATTTTCAGTGACCATCCAAATGACGGCTTCTAAATCCCCATCACCCTTATTAGGGTCTAACCTTTGTTAGTGTCTCAACAGAATCCATTTGCTACAAGATGGTGAAGAGAGCTTTAGGGGTACAAACATTTACAAAAATAGCTAAAGCAAATATTCAAGCTTAGAGAATTGAAATGTCAACAAAACAAAGAAACTCACTTTACATGCTTCCAGCAACTTGACCAGGCAGAAATCTCGGGGGAAATGCCCTCTGTCTCAAAGCAGTTTAAAGCAAGAAAGCCTGACCCCGACTCCCTTAGAAAATCCCATCCAGCCAACGCCACAACTTGCAATAAGATGGGCTTGAGTTGAAAGAACACCGAAACTCTAACTTTTTCCCACAAGTCCTCAAACCAAATCCATTCTGACAGGACAACACAAGCCACTTCTATCTATGCTTTATGCTCATCGGATAAAATGCCAAAGGATTTTTTTGCCCATCCCCAAAGAAAACAAACACCCTTCAACAGCAGGAACTTCTGCACTTTTACGGAAACACTATCTCATTGTCCCTATGAAATACAGCCAGCATCACCCGGTGAAGAAGAGATCCCAATGCATCGCAATACTGCTTCACCTAATCAAAATTAAAGAGAAAATGCCTCCGAAAGTCTCCCTGTCTTCCGAGGGGAATTCCAAGAGAGGCACAAGCCAAGCCCCGTCCCCATCCAACACTTGCTTGCCTGATGTACAGTAAGGAAGGAGAAGGTAGGTATGGAAAAGCCCGACTCAGCTTCCCCAAGGCTTCCTCAGCAAGCCCTTCGGAGCTGATGCCGTCGATACACACCCAAGGCTCTGTGTTGGGCACAAGGTGGGAAGAAGACACTCGTACTCAAATCTTGAAGCATCCCGTCCCGCTGAACCCAGAGCCACTAATTTCTGCCATCAGAAAAAGTGCTCCAAGAGGACAACGGGGAACTAAGTGTGCGCTGCCGCCGCTTGGCTTCAGAGGAAACAGCCAGCCCCGAGCTGGCTCGATGAGGTCTCCTGAGGTACAATCATATAAACCTGATCAATTGCAATTAAAATCGGAGTCGAGGCTCCGAACTGGAAGTCCTGGTGCATGAGTTCTTGCCCAAAGCAGATGTGACTGGGAGCTGGAAGCAGTTTCTCCTGGTAATTTGTGATGACACAGGCTAGAGCAGCCCCAGAGTCCCCAAAGACAAACTCATCAGAAGCTCTAATGTATGCATGACACATGAGGTGGCTCTTTTAGAGCTCAATTAATCGGTCTGAACATTAAGACAGCAAGTTCAGGACTTTTTTTTTTTTTCCTCTGGAGTTTCATTCCTCCCTCCCCCCCTCCCCAACCTTTTTACAAGCATTTCTCCCCTTACCTTCTGCAAGCCATGTTTCCTGTAATTGGCTCAGATCTTGAAAGAGTTCTGGAAAAAAAAAAAAAAGGTGAAGACATAAAATAATATGGCAACTCAACCTTTAATCTTATCCTTCATGAAATGAAAATGTTATCTGATTTTTTTTCTCTGACACACATGTATATTATATATGGAAATACCATTAAGAGAGCTCTCTTAGATAGGGGGATCGTTTCTCATTATGATCATGCCAATACCTGATATTTGCTCTGTGAGGACAGGGGAGGCATCCACTCAAGTAATTAATCCTTGCATAAAAACCAGAATCCTTGAATGTATCCGGCTCATACTCTAATCACAGACAGACCATCACCAGGGACTGTCCCGGCCACCCATTCTTTCTTTCTCCCTTGTAATGGACAGCTTTCACTGAATCAATCTCTCTCACAGAGAACGTGGAGGAAAAATCAGGGCAAAAAAATAGAAAAAAAACATTTCATGTATCAATCCTTGTGTCTTCAGAGAGACTTGGCCCTTGTCATGGTGCGGGGCCCACGGGAATGCCTTTCCTAGAAAGGACCGACAGGCTAGAGGCTAACTCCATGTGACAACTTGCTGGGGGAAGAAGCATCACTCCCTGGCATACTGGTCACCATATCTACCAGTTTTGATTCAGCTGTCAGGGGTCTGTCAAGGGACCATAATCAGAAGAAAACTGTTATTTATTTCCAATGTCTATTAAACTTAGGAACAGAGAAGCATAAACTTGGCTTTTCTCTGAGAATTAAAAAAATCCAAAGTAGACTGTGTTCTGAATGGCTACGTGGGTTGATGCAGGAGGGTATTTTGAGAAACTTTGGAACTCAAAATCCTGACTTCAGTCAGCCAAGAATAGCAAACTTTTTGCTAAGTAGCTCTGCCGAGCAAGCCAGCAGGAGGGATTTCCTCTGAGGTTATTCACCTGGCTGAAAAGTTTGCATTTCAGTTCACATTCTTAAAAACTGCAGGAGAGATGCTAAAGGGTTAATATTTAGCCTCTGCCCCTGGGGGCCCAAGGAAGCTTCTGTGACAGAAATTAACATCAACTAAAGACTTAAATAGGGTTTACTAGGAACTCAAAGCTCCTAACCCAATCCAATGCCCTAAGAACTTGGTCAGCTTTCAACATTTTATGTATTTTTTAAACTGCATCCAGCTATACGTGAAAGGGGGTGGTGTGAGACCCTATGATGCTGTTCTACCTTAACCATATATTAATAAGTTTCTCCTCAGTGGGCATGAAAACTGTCAACATCTGAATGACCTCTCATTGGCTTCTACCACCGAGTTGGACATCTTCAAGTTTTTTCTCCCTTCCTTCACAGTTTTATTGATACACCATATGGGCTGCAATACTGCAATACAGCTATGGCTGGGGAGAAGGATGGATGAGTCAGGGAGGGATAGCACATTTAACTCTCCATTTCGCTCTTTGATTAATCTCTGACACAACCAGGAAAAAGTACTGAAGTGCAGATCGTCACAATATGCAAAGGGCTCCGAGTAACAAAGTCATATTATTCTGGGCCAAAATAGTTTCTCTCTCTCTCTCTCTCTCTCTCTCTCTCTCTCTCTCTCTCTCTCTCTCTCTCTCTGTCTCTCTCTCTCTCTCTCTCTGTCTCTCTCTCTGTCTCTCTCTCATACAAACGATCCTGGGGAGGGGTAGGAGGTTTTTGTTTTTCTTAAAAGAAAGCAAAAGGACAGTTCTGCATTTTTTTTGGGGGGGGGGGAGATCAGAAGAAGACAAAACCTCACCTTCTGAGTCATGAGCCAGGTCTCTGTTAATGAATTTTCTTTTCCTGACATTTGCTGGTTTCTCATTACAGCTTCTCCCACGCTGACTCTACAAACGGGAAAGATTAAATACTTTAATTTTTTTTTTTTTTGGAATCTCTGATTGTCACATGCAAAAGTCACTTGCAAACCCGAGGGGGGAAGACAAGTCTACTGGGCCCTCTCCCCCTCTCCTGCCAAGGGACACCCTTTGGAGTCCTCCTTTCCTGGATCCAGCCGATAGCCAAAGCCGGTGATGGGCTTTCTTTGGGCGGCCGAGCCAGCAAAGCCTGAGGCTGCTGCCTCTGCTGCGGCGGCTCCGGCTGCTGCCGTGGCCTGAGCCTGATGCCTTCCCACAGCATTTTATCCTGACGCATCTTGATGGAGAGAGATACGTATGGAAGGCTCCCTCCCCAGCATCCAGCCAAGGGAAAGACATGCATTTAGCAGTCAGCTGGGCTGGGCTGAACTATATGCATTTTTCCTCCATCTATTTTAAAGGACGGTGAAGGCAAGAGAAGTTATTTCATCTCCACCCGCTCCCGCCCCCCCCCCATACAAACACACGCAAAACAAAAACAAGATCCTGAAAACGGAAAGTGTCAACATTGGTCTCAACTTCATTCTGTGCAATGTGGCAGACAAACCCAGCCAGAAACTTTGACTGCAGCTGCTGCTGCCTTCCTCCTCCTCCTCCTCCTCCTCCTCCTCCTCCTCCTCCTCTTCCTCCTCCTCCTCCTCCTGCTCTCATCGTGTGCACTTTAACTATCCAAAAAGAAGTCTTAAAAATAAAACGATGCCTTATCCCAGTCCCTGGAAGGAGGAACGCTCATTCTGAAGCCTCGGTTCCTACAGGGAGAGTCAGCAACCAAGCGATCGAACGCGGACGAGCCCAGCAACTCCCTGCCGGCGCCCCCTCCCCCCCCCCCCGCCCCGCTCCCCCCCCCCTCCCGAGGAGAAATAAGTCGGAGTCAAGTTTATAAACAGCCACTTGGGCGCTGCTCACTCACGTTGCTGACCAAGTAAGGCACTTGCTGGTCGTAGAAGCCGTCCATCCTGAGGCGGCGACCGTGGCCGGACCGGGCCGGACCGGGCCGGACCGGGCCGAGCCGGGGCTGCGCGGGCTACGCGGAGCTGCTTAGCAATTCACCTTCCGAGCATCGGGGACGAGGCTTCCTCGCGGTCCGAGCGGCTCCCGACCTAGAAAGGGGCGCAAAGCAGCTGTAGGTTCCGGTGAAGCCCGTGAATGAAGCGCCGGCATTTGCATAGCTAATTACCCGGCTCCAGCCCCATTCACCAAACGCGCCCTCCCCGCGCAGCCTCGTTCACCTGGAGCCCCCGCCCGCCCCGCAGCCCCAGCTTGCTACTTTGTAGCAGCCGCGACCCCCGGCCGGAGCCGAGACAAAGCCCCCGGGCCGGGCCCCGGGGGGCTCGGGGGGGGGGGGGGGGGGGCAGCCCGCAGTCCCTAGCCCGGGGGTCCGGGCGTGCGCCCCCCTGAGCGTGGCCAGCCTCGTAATGGCGATCAACAGGAGTCGCTTTGCACCTAACGGGAGGCAGCGGAGGCGGCCCGACCCGGCCCCCCCCCCCCCCCGCGACCGCACGAGGGGCCTAGAGTGACGCGCGAAGTTGGGGGCGAGACCCACCTAAAGGCCGTGCCAGGCGCTGGGCTGCCCACACTCCCCTCCCAATTTAATCCAAACATGAAGCCTTGCCCAGCACCTCCCCCTCGGAAGCCGAGAGCGCCTCTGCCAGAGCTGGCTCTGGCGGCTCTTCCTCCACTTCTCCTCCAGGGGCCTCCGAGCCAAACCGATGGATCCCTGCCTCCCATTGGCTCTCGGGCTCTTTCACCAGATCAGATTTCGGGCTGTCAATCAGGCGGCGCTCCCGGGCCGGCTCCCCGGCTCCTTCCACGGTGCCGTAACCCTAGCCCTCTCCCTCGGCCCGGCCCAGAGTCTTCCTGAAGCTGGGATCGCGGGGTCCTCCGGCGCCCGGGGGAGAGGCCGTCCACCCTCGGCTGCCTTTCTCCGAGGCTTCCCGGACCTGGGGCCCCTCCTCTCTCCCTCTCTCCTTCCCATCTTCCGTGCCAAGGCTCTGGACTCAGTTTCCCACCTGTTTTGTTTTTTCGACTTTACTGTCTAGCTTGTTTGTATAGAGTTGCTTGGATGGTGTATCCACCCCCCCCCCCAACAGATTGTGAGCTCCTTGGAGGCAGGGGCTGTTTTTCTCCTCCCGGACGCTTGACACAGTGCTTGGCACATCAAAGGCGCTTAATAAAAGCTTGCTGTGCCCGGGACGCACGTGTTCCCGCACGTTCGAGTGCGGGGATTTGGTTTCTTGTTCCTTTAGCTGCAAACATCATTCCCTGCATCCCTCTGACTCGGTGGCTGGTTCCTAGCGGGAGGGCCCCAGACCAGCATCCTCAAAGTGCTGGCCACGAGCGAGGCACAGGAGTACCTGCGGAGGGAGACGCGGCGGGGCTAAAGAACCTACACAGCTTGGGGTGACGGGGGGTTGGGGGGGCCTGGAAAAGGAAGCATGAAGATGAGGGGGGTGCGGGGCAAAGGAAATGGGAAGTACCAAGCTAGCTCCCCCCAACTCTGCTGGGTTAAAAAACGCGCATCTGGAAGGAAGAGAGATGGAGGAGGGGCCAGAGAGGAGGAGAAGAGGGGGTCGGATGCCCGCGGAACCTGCCCATTTCCTGCGCTTTGTTATGGATGCCTCCTAAGAGGAGGGGAACACCTTCAGAGCACTTAACCCTTTGGGGTCTTCCCGGGAGGGAAAAAGGGGAAGGTGGAGGAGGAGGGCTGGCTAGCCCTCAGCCAGACTCCCCCTCCCCCCACCCTCACCCCTCTGGCCCGCGGGGTCGCCCCCGGCTTGGCCCGGGGGGCTGCTGTAGAGCTCGGGCTCTCCCCTCCATCACCCCCAGTCGTAAAGTTTGCTCCCGGGGGTGGGGGGAGGCTGGGGGGCTCCCCCCACCCCCAGCAGGCACACAGCCTACTCGGGACAGTGGCAGCACCGGACCTTCCAGCCGTCCGAGCCAGGGGCCGATCGGAGGCGCTCGCAGGCTGCCTGGCCAAACTCCGGATCCAGGAGGCCCAGGGGCCGGAGGGAGGGACGCCGGGAAAGGGAGAGCCGGGCAGGTTTCCGAGGAAACCCGGGGGCGGGGGCTGCTCCGGGCCTCCCTGCCGCGCGCCGCGCCCCTATTGGCCGCCTCCGGCCGGGGGCGGGACAGGCCCCATTCACAAAATCCCGGTCCGGCGAGGTCACGTGCCTTGGGGGAGGGGGCGGGGGGCACCTCTAAGCCTAAGTATCTGCAGGCTCCGGAGTGAGACCCCCTCCTTCCCCGCCCCCCTGCTCTTCGCCCCGGGCCACGCGGCCTCCTAGAGAGCAAGGGGCGAGGATCTCACTCCGGAAAGGACTGAGGGCGGGGGGGGGGAGTAAGAAGTTCATCTACACTGCCCCAGGCCGTTCCCTGCATGGGTGCGCACGCCCCTGACCCTTTGGCAGCATCCTGGAGCCCGGGTCCCCAGGGTGCAGGGAAAGGTTGCCCTGGCATTTAAAGAAAGTAGAGAGAGTAGGGCGGGGGTCTGCCCACAGCACATTTGGACGGGACAGAGAGGCCCCAAAGCTCCCACTGGGGGCCCGGGGTCTGTTCTTGCCTCTGGCTCTTCCCCTCCTGTTGGCATCCCGGGAGCCGGCCCTCCATGAGCCTGGCCTTTTTGTATCCCCTTCTCTGGCACTGAAGGGCACCGAGACGTCCAGGGACCGAAGACTGGAGAACGCCAAATTAGGGGGTTGTTTTTCAGAAAATGTTGCCATTGTGAGAAAGGCTCCCAGAGGCAGCTGTTCTGGCCACGCAGAGGGGCAGCGACACTGGCCCAAGGTTTCCACTTTTGAAAACGAGTCTTTAAAAAATCGGTTCAGCAAATGCCCGTCCTTGTGAATGGGAATTTTCCGTTTGGCAGGCTTTCAGTCGCAGTGGCCGTACAAAGACTGACTTGCTAGGGTTTTAAAATCACATTTGTGTTGAGAAATACTGAAAGGAAGACACTTTTAAGAGGAAAAAAAATTGCAGGAAAGGGTCACTTCTGGCCTCAGAGGCGTCACTTTGGGCTCCAAGGAATCCCGGCAGGACTGTTCGGTCCCGCTCCTTCACGAAGGAAATGAACTTTCTTTGCTTTTGCTTTGTTTGGGTTATTTTGGTTTTGCCATCTTGGACCTCCTTATACAGTATCATGGCAGATATTCACTAGGAAGTCACAGAACATTAGCAAAAAATAAAAAGTGGAATGCCGAGATTTCTTTTTTCATGTTTTTTCCAGTTTTAAGCCAAGATATGTGAATTATTTTTAATGACCAATGAAAATAAAGTGCCCATTATTTTGTTCAAAATGGCACAGATCAATAAATGAAGCAATGGATTTTCATTAAAAAAAAAATTCATCCACTCAGATAAACTTAGTTCATTTACTTTAACTGTTACAGAAACCCATAGAAGACTGATTTTAGGGAGAAGTGGTGTAGCTCAGGGCTCAGGGCCCCTCTCAAGAACGCTGTCATCTGTGTGTGTGTGTGTGTGTCAGTGTCTGTGGGTCTGTGTGTGTGTGCCCACACTAGCCTTCTTGCTGTTTGAGAAAGTGTTTCCAGCCAACTGCATTGTCCAGAGACTCTGTTCTGACCTAAAAATAAGGAATGTATTACAGGCCTATGACCCAAGGAGCCTCTGAAGTTGTTTAAAAACAGAGAGCACATTTGAAACAATAGCAATGACCATTATTCAGAGAAATTTTACAAAAAAATTTATTCTAAGTGTGGAGAATTCAATTCCACAAATATTCATGAATTATCTGTTATTTTTGAGGCATTACTGATAGAAAGAGAAAACCACAAAACCAAGAGAAATGTGACCTGAAGTCTGAGGACCTGGGTTCAAATACCCCGCTGACATTTGTTAAAAAAGCAACGTCCCCTGGCTTTTGGAAAAATGAGTCTCATTTTCCTCAACTGTGAGATCCTCTAAGGGATTTAGGACAGATGTCTTCTAAGACTTCTTCCAGCTCGGGATCTATGATCCCAGGAGATGTTGCTTTAGTCATGTGGTAAGCAGGACGAATATTTTGCTCTAAAAAGTCCATATTAAGAAAATAAATATCTCATACAAGTAACATGAAAAAATACATTTATGCAAGTTTCCTACATCTTCCTGTGTCTTCAAGTAGAAAGCTCAGTGGTGGGAGAACCCTAGAAGAAATATTGCCCCATCACAAACAGGGTTAAAAAATAGTCCCAAAGCTTATTGAAATTTGTCTCAGTTACATTCCATCACTCCTGCAAATTTGAAATGAGTGTTGGCATCAAGGTTTTTCTGTGTCCCTTCGGAAAATTTTGTCCAAATACTCATGATGAAAGTCCCTATCCCAGAGTGATTGTATGATAGCCCCAACATCATACTCACAAACGGTTATACAATTAGGTGATCTTGGACAGTCGAGTCAATAAGCATTTACTAAGTGTCTGCTAGGGTCCAGGCACTGTGAGAAGTGCTGGCGATGGGAAGAAATGCATAAAATGACCCCTGCCCTAAAATCCACAGTGTAACCTCCTGTCTGGGGCTCATTTCCCACCTCCCACTCAGACTAGTAGGCCAGCTCCAAAGAAGGTTAACTTCTTCCCTTCAGATTCTAGGAACAATCCTGAGGAGTGAAGGGTTTCTATTCTACTGCTCATGAGGGCCCATGTGGTGTGATCTTCCAATGCTGATTAGCCAAACTGATATCAAGGGTAGAAGCAGTATGAAATGCTTACTGGCACTCTGCTAAGCCCTTATGGAGTTAAACAGTCAGTGTTCATTAGCTTTTAGAAAAGAGTATTAATGTGATAGTAAGAACAGTTGACACAATTTTTTTTTAATTCCCTCAAATGCATAAAACACTCTTACAAAATCAAAGATTGCAGGAGAAAGGGAGCTCAAGCTTAGAATTGTGCAGCATGTGTGAAGGGGGATAAGGTAAAATGAACCTGTGCCTTTAAATGCAAAACTGACAAGTTTATGCTTTATTACAGAAGAGATACAAGGCAACTCGAGGCTGTGGAAGGGGGAGAATGTGGTCAGATGTGCTTTAAGAGGATTATTTGGCCACTGGGGTGTGGGGAGGGGAGAGATCCACAAATGAAGGAATGGATTTTAAATGATGAAATTAGAAGCCAAGAGTTCTGGGAGATGGCTGTCTGGACTGGGGCCATGGTCAGAGAGGAGAAGGACTGGAGATACTCTGTGGAGGGAAGAATGACAAGAATTGGCTCCTGACTGGAGTCAGAGAAGTGACCAGTGACAGGCTTCTACCACATGGCCTCTAAGATCCCAGGCACCATAGATATTCCAGTCTCAGGCCTCGGGAGCAGGATTAGCCCTGGAGCAGCCGGCAGCTCCTACAGCTGCCCACACCATACAAGGTGCTCCTAAGGCCGAACCTTGGAGAGACAACCCCTTGCCCGTGTCCTTTGCACGAGCTGAGTGCACTGAAGGAGGATTCACTTCTCCAGAGGGAAAGGAGCCCACCCCAGGTCCCCAGGCTTTCCCACTGTCTCACGAAAGCCGAGGTCCAACCTGCTCCTTGGCTTTCTCTCAGATTGCTTGGAAGTCCAGCCTAGGTTTTCCTACATTCGGGCCTGACCAGGCTGGAAATGCTATTGTCCTGCCTGCTAGGGCCATGTCCCCGAACTTCAAT